TTTGTACCATGCTTTTCAGAATGACTGAAGTTAATAGAAGTTTGCTAATTAATTTTTATTGGACCAGTACAGGCAACCCTCGCCATTCACGGGGGATACATTCCCATAATCCCCGCGAATTATGAAATCCAAGAATAGGGCACTGAGTTCATGAATGCAGTGCCCCCAGCGGCTGGAAGGCACGGCTCCGGTGGTGATGGAGGGAGCCCGGCAGCAGGAGCCCAGCAGCAGCAAGCATGGAGCTCCCACAGAGCTCTGGTAAGTGTTTAAAGTGTATTTAAAATGCAGGTTCAGCATTCGCAAATATTTGAAACCGCGAATGCTGAACCCATGAATACCAAGGGTTTCCTGTATTTGGACCAGACTGAATAAAACATTTTCAAGAGTCCCACTAACTTTATGTGCCTCAGACTGCTATAGATACATATACAACAAATATTGGGATCGTGTGCCAGATGATCCATTGTAACTGTTTCATCTGTCTACCCCCTACCCATGACAAGCAAGCATAAACCAGAGTAATTTATCCCAGAATGAAATAGGCAAGGGAAAGTGTTGCAGTTTAGCTTCACTTAATGTAGGCTAGGAACAGAAAGGCAAAACAATTGTACTAGACTCAGTTGTACCCACAGTAAGTTTCCCCATTACAGAGGTATCACAGTTTTTCCATCTATGGCCTAAGTGGCTTTCAGCACAGACAGAACATAAAGATTGCTTGCTCACTTATACAGTTTCTTCATGATATTTTTTTAAGGAAGATCTTGTAAGCATTTAGAAATCTATTTAGAAATCACTCTTCTCATCAGATAGGTGCATCCACATGTGCCCCCCATGGTGCAGTTGTTACTGCACCATCATTTAGTACTTGCTTTAGGAAGTACTAAATGACAGTACAGTAACAGACATTACTGTACCATCCCAGTGGCACCCAGTTATTTTTAACAGCTACAGTACCATAGTGACACGCTATAGTGAGGTAGCTCGTCACTACAGTGATGTAGCGTTGGCATCATGGTTTGTGTCCACTGACACTATATCACCATAGTGACAAGCTATGTCGCTGTATTGCATCGCTATGGCAATGTAGCATTGTGTGTAGACGCACCCAGTGGCAGATACATTCGAAGGTCCTGATCCTTCACATGGACATCACATTTACAGTCCAATGAGAACTGGTTGCTGGAAAATACTCCATTTACCCTAGTGGATATCAAAAAGTTTCAAATCATATGTTTAGTAATATGTTTTTGCTACAACACTACATTTTAGAACTGACTTCTGAGTGCCTAATTTTGAAGGAGAAAAGTGATCAGAAAAGTGTCATTCTAATATCTAATACAGTGATTCTCAACCAGGATGCTGCAGTATGCTGTGGTGCCATGAGATCCTTTTAAGGGTGTTAATGGGTATTGCTCAATATTAGCACGGTTAGATGTGTGACCTACACATGATTCATAAGATAAACCCAGAGATTTCAAATAAAAATTAAAAGTATCAGAAACATTCTGATCTGTTCCAGTCTTTCTGATCTCTTTGCAAGAGAAGCATTGCTCTGTTTCTGTAGTCAAAAAATAAGTGAAAGTTAACAGCTGACATTTTCTGAGGCATGCCTTAAATCTAAAAGGGTTAGGAACCACTGATCTAGTACAAAACATATATTGGTAAATTGAAACTTTTCTTTAATCTGTTATTCTAGTCTGTTTAAATCTATTACATCTGCCTAACCAAAAACACTTACTTCTAGTAGAGGCTAATCTGTGTAAATAAACTGATAGTTGTAAAGGTTTGCAAATGAAATGAAACCTAACCCCATAAGTCTCATGCCAAAAGAAGGCTTCTTCAAACAGATTAGAGACTGTTTTGGTACATACAATGGTGTCATCTCTTCCCTTCATGTCAGAGTATGCCAGGGGTCAAATATGAAACTGAAAAGCTTCTAAAATTATCTATTCAGGGAACTGACTGCACTTTGTAAAATTTCCCACTCAGTTATGCCTCCATGATCAAAAACAACATCCAGGTTGCCCTCTGTGCTCCTTCTGTTGAATGCACCCACTGTTAGCTCGCTTCTGTTCAAAGCTCCAGTCAGACTATGAGATGGACTGACTGGCTCCATTTCTCTCAGTTTTCCTGTCAGTTGCTCTATCTTTAAATAATGGAAAATCTCTTTTCACCATACCTCCCCTTTCCTCTTCTCCCTCATCCAGCCTTTCTCTGAGCAATGTAATTGGAGCTGTAACACAAACAGAACAGCTAGTTCTTTGCCCCTCCTGCATAATAACGAAAGGAGGGGAAACAAAGGCTAGCATGAACTTTTGAGATTAATCCCTCTTCTGTTCTCAGCTGTCAGATTTGTTTCTCCTTTGTAGCTAAATCAGGTCATTATACTACAAATCTGTATTCTGAATGAGAGATTTAAAACTCTGAGGTTTTTTGTTTTTGGTTTTTTGGGGTTTTTTTGAGACAGCACAGAATAATTAGTTGTAGTTTTGTCTGGATATTTGCATGGGGCCTCCTATCAAATTCCACTAAACCTTCCCTGAGCCTTTTCATTTTGCTGAGTTCCTAAGGAACACGCCAGCACATAGATTTTACACTCTGCTATAACTATCTTCACATCTAAGAGGTCATGTTTTCACAGAGCCACTTTAAACAATCAGAAGGATTAAAAGGTCTTTAAGATTGCCTGGTAATAAAAATAGTAATAGAAAGAGGGGGGGGGGGGGAAGAACCATAGCTTGATCATTTGTCCTTGACATTGTCTGTGTTATTTCTACAAGAACAAAAAAAAAAGGCAGGAAATAAGAAAAGGCTTTCAGACTATATTTAACTGTTTTAAAATCAACAATAAAAGTACAGTAGTTAAACTAGAAGACTGAAAAGGCATAAGGTCATCAAATGCAGGTTCACTGAAAGAGT